AATTGAAGAAGAAGGATTATAAAGCACTTTTTATAATTCATCAGTGTGTTGATCCTGATAACTTTGAAAAGGTTAGTGATGTTGATTCAGTAAAAGAAGCATGGGAGATTCTTGAAAATTCGTTTGGAGGCGCAGAGAAGGTGAAAGAGGTGAGGTTACAAACTCACAAGAGAACCTATGAGTTGCTTCAGATGGAAGACAACGAAAGCATTACAGATTTCTTCACCAGAGTTACAAGGTTGGTGAATCAAATCAAAGTATGTGGAGAAACGCTGACGACGAAAGCAGTTGTCTCAAAGATTTTGAGATCGTTGGCTCCAAAATTCGACCACGTGGTAGTTGCCATAGAAGAGTCGAAAGATCTGTCAGTGTTGACGAAGGAAGAGCTTCAAGGGACTCTTGAGTCTCATGAACAGAGGATGGTTGAGAGAGCTGCAGGAAAGTCGAAAGATATGGCTTTGCAGGCACAGACGGAAAAGGAGAGAAAAGGCAAAGGTAGCTGGAATGACAACAAAGGAGGAAACCAGTCGAATCAAAAGAAACCTTGGAACCAAGGGAACCAAAGAGGTGGTGCTGCAGGTAAAGGAAGAGGTGGTGATCGAAAGACAGACAAAAGCCACATTCAATGTTTCAATTGCCAGAAGTATGGTCATTATGTTAGTGATTGTCCAGAAAAGAAGAGAAATCAAGAGACTGATGCAAAGCTAGCGAAACATGAAGAAGAAGAAACGTTGCTAATGGTCACAACAAACGATGAAGAAAGATTCCAAGATCAGTGGTACTTGGACTCAGGATGCTCATCACACATGACTAGAAGGAAAGATTGGTTTGTCAACATGAAGTCATCGTCGAAGAATACGGTGAAGTTTGCAAATGACAACACTCTAGCAGCTGAAGGTGTTGGTGATGTTCTGATTATGAGGAAAGATGGCAAAAGGTCAACAATTTCCAATGTGTTGTACATACCAGACATGAAGAGTAATTTGCTCAGTATAGGGCAGCTTGTCGAAAAGAACTACAAGGTAGTTATCGAAGACAAGATGATGAGAGTCCTCGACGCAGGTGGTAGACTAATCTTGAAGGCTCCAATGTCTCAGAATAGGACCTTCAAGATTGGACTCAATGTGATGGAGCACAAGTGTTTAGCAACTGCAGCCACTGAAGTCGAAATAGAAGCTCGACAGGAACCAGTTGCAGATGAAACAGGTTCAAGCAGACCTCGACGAACTAGACACATGCCTGCAAGGTTGCAAGAATGTGTAATCACATCAAATGATGTAGTCGATGAAGAGGGTGAGCTGGTACGTTATGCTTTCTACGCAGATGTCGAACCAGTCAATGCAGCTGAGGCATTGAAAGATTCGAAGTGGGTGAAAGCAATGATTGAAGAGTTAGAGTCCATCAAATTCAATGATACCTGGTCACTTGTCGAATTGCCGCAAGGCAAGAAGGCAATTGATGTGAGGTGGGTTTACAAGGTGAAGGTAAATCCTAAAGGAGAAGTAACTCGACACAAAGCGAGACTTGTGGTGAAAGGATTTCTTTAGAAGGAAGGAATCGACTTCGATAAAGTATTCGCATTTGTTGCTAGAATCAAAACAATCAGGTTGGTTGTTGGTCTAGCAAATATGAACAACTGGCACACATGTCAGATGGACGTGAAATGTGCATTCCTTAATGGCCCCTTAGAATAAGAAGTTTATGTTGCACAACCAGCTGCATTTGTGAAACAAGGTGAAGAAAGAAAGGTGTACAGGCTTCATAAAGCCCTGTATGGACTTAAGCAAGCTCCAAGATCTTGGAATAAGAAAATTGACAGCTTCTTAAAGGAGAAGGAATTTGTGAAGTGTACAACTGAGCATGGAGTATATGTAAGAAGAAGCAATGACGAATTGCTTATACTATGTCTCTATGTTGATGATTTGTTGATAACAGGGAGTTCCAAGAAGGAGATCGAAGATTTCAAACATGAACTGAGTAAGGAGTTTGAAATGTCAGACTTGGGAAATCTCTCATATTTCCTTGGCATCGAATTCTACAAGACAAGTAGAGGTTTGATGATGCACCAAAGAAGATATGCAGGCGAGATACTCAAGAGATTTGAAATGCAAGATTGCAACCAAACTTCGACTCCAGCTGAGCCCATATTGAAACTGTCGAAGGATTCAGATAAAGATGATGTCGACCCAACCCAATACAGAAGACTTATTGGGTCACTTAGATACCTTTTCCACACAAGGCTTGACTTAGCATACAGTGTTGGTATGATAAGTAGATTCATGCAGAAACCAAAGGTATCACACCTAGCAGCGGCGAAGAGGATATTGAGGTATCTGAAAGGAACTCTCGACTATGGCATTTTGTTTCCAGCAGCTGATGAAGGAAAAGAATGCAAGTTAGTGGGATACACAGACTCCAGTTGGTGTAGTGATGCTGAGGATCAAAAATCCACAGCTGGATATGTGTTTATGTTAGGTGGTGCACCAGTTGCTTGGAATTCGAGAAAGGAACAAGTGGTGGCATTATCATCATGCGAAGCAGAATATATAATTGCTTCCCTTTGTGCATGTCAAGCAACTTGGATGATGAACTTGGTCGAAAAAATCACAGGGAAGAACCATGGAGCAATTACCATGAAGATAAACAACATGTCAGCTATCAACTTGGCAAAGAATCCAATAGCTCATGGTCGAAGCAAGCACATCGAAATGAGGTTCCATTATCTCCGAGAGCGGGTAGCAGAAGGGAAGATGAAGTTGGAACACTGCAGAACTGAGAATCAGATTGCAGATATCATGACGAAGGGAGTGCAGGTCGAAGCCTTCAGAAGACTAAGGGCCACGATGAATGTAGACAGTTTAGACACAATGAATTAGGTGGTGTGTTAAATATAATTCATTGTGATTTGATATGATTAGATTTGATATCATATGATTAGATTTGATATCATATGATTAATTTGATATGATTAGATTTGATATCATATGATTAGATTTGATATCATATGATTAGATTTGATATCATATGATTAGATTTGATTTAGAATATTTTGGGTCTTTTATGTTTTGGGCTAGTGTAAACCTAAAACTATAAATATGGTGTCTTGCTTTGTATTCTACATCACAACAGAACAGATTTCACAGTTGCAGTTAGCAAGTGAAAGTTCAATAAGAAATCCCACAGTTGTGGGTAACACATTCTCTCCAAATACTTCTTCTCTCATTCTTCTCTTTCTTGTTTGTTATTCTTCTTCTCTTTTGTTGTTCTTGATAATTACTTGTTATTACCATCATTATCATATTGTGGGTTTGTTCATCAATCTTGAGATCAAGATTGAAGAGAATTCTTCATAGGGTGTGAGGTGAATTTCCAACATTTTATTCTTTATCCTTTACTCATGTGTAACAATCACTTCTCGGTTACAAAATAATTTTCCACTACACATAAAATTGAATGAAGAAAATAATACAATTGAAAGTAAGAGAAAAGAGAAATTCATGAGGAAGAAGAAAAATGTATTATTGTGCAAACTATACTCTAAGTGTTTGCTATAATGTGTGTAAATCACTACTGTGATTTTTGAAACTACACAAAGTTATTAAAAAATTTGTTATTCTCTTATAATACAAATGAAATAGAACTCCTCTCTATTTATAGATGAAATTACTTGTACTCCAAATAATTATAAAATAACTAATTAGTCTAAAACTAAGTTAAGTTAATATTTTTTGAGTTTGTCGTCCCCTTCGACAACTACATGTTTCGACAAGTTTTATTCAATTTTCTGTCAAATACAATTAATACAGATTCTGTTCGACACATGCTATTACGACACATACTAAAACATCTTTTGACACCCGTGAAATGCAAACACACTATTTCGACTTCAACACAAAAAGTTACTTATTTAACACACCACCTAATTCATTATGTCTAAATTATCTACATTCATCATTGTTCTTAATCTTTTGAACAATACAACCTGCACACCTTATTATATCTATAATTTGATTCTCTAATCTGCAATATTTCAAACTCAACTCTCTATCGTTACATGCTCTCTCATGTAATAGAACCTCATTTTAAAGATAACTAAATATATCAAAATCAATTCTATGCGATGAAGATCAATTTTGAATGCTCCAAATGCAAACTAAAAATACACAATTTCACTTTAGCTTTTGGGTAGTAGTAACTCAAACGATAAAATAGATCCAAAATGAATGCTAATAGGGAAGCATTACTAATGCTGAATCCATGCCAGTTTGTGGTAGGTTTACAAAGTCATCCTGTAGTTGGATGCAAGTTTTTACAAATATCAAGTGCGTATGTCTTAGAGGGAATGATAATCCAGATCAAGTTTGATATGTTTGACCATTTCATACAAATTTCAAATATGAAAAGTATTCCACTTTGAGATGATTGCGTAATTCTGTCAAGCAACAAAGTCAACCAAAAGATGTAAACATGAAAACAAATTGAAAAGTAAAGAAAATGTTTTTAAGAAAACAACTGTCAACCGTCATGTTTTTCAAGTTGCTAGATTTAAAGATCTTTGTTTGGATGGAATTTACAGCTATCATCACGTATTATGCATAGTCACCAAAGTTTGGAACAAATTTTGCATCAGCAATAGCATCACTGAACAGGGAAAAAAAACAAGACACCTTGTACAAGAAACTACACAACATGTTAACCAATTACACCTTTTTTGATAGAGACAGAATGTGTCACATTATAAAAATTAAACATGCTACTAGTAATACCAAAGGTTTTCAGCACAAATTTACTCTTTTTTTAAGCTTTTTATTTTTCAAAATGTTTTGATGGATGAACATAATGAAATATGATATACAACAACATTAAATTTTGCTTAGAGCAAAAACCAGAGAAAACTTCAATGCATTAACCTTAACATCATAACTAAAAGAAGCATTTTTTTCCTAAAGAAGAAACCACTTTGCTGCTGCTGCTGCTGATGATACATAAGTGTTTTATATTCAAACAGGGGCTGGTTCTGAAGCAGTTTCACCACGCTTTTTGGCAAAGTATTCTTCTGCACGTGCAAGGTTTTTGGCAACGGATGGCTTAACCCATTTCTTTCGGCCAGGAAGCACAACGAGGGAACAGCCAGCAGACTCGAGTTTCTCCTTTGCAGATGTGGAAAAGGCGCCAGCTTTTATTGTTAACTTCTTGCTTAGTTCTCCATCAGCCAAAATCTGAAACCAGAGAAAATCAAACTATTATTTTCATATTTCTTTTAAAGACATGTTCAGGGAAATGCTGGGTTATTTAGAAACAAAAGCATGCTTAAACACCCTAGCTAGTTTAATGTTGTTAGAAGTTCTGTTTCTCACATCTTCTAGATATATGATCCAAATAATGTTCATCTTGCAAGTGGGGTTTTGTGAGGTTGAGTAAGTCCTTATCTTACCATAGAACTCTTCCATGATAGTACTCCATATCTCAGATATGATATGACATGGCAATATTCAGGATAAACCTGGCCAACCATTCCATATGAATTATAGGGGAAGTATTTCTGATAAATCTGCTTCACATGATTGTATGTGCCTCAGCTGCTAACCTCATTGAAATGCAATCCCATAAACTATCATCTTGTTTAGCTATGAAGCATTGACACAGACACAACACTGACACATTGACATCGATAATAACTAAAGAAAATGACAAAATTGAATGTAATCATGTGTGGTGGTGTCGTGTCAGTGTCGGACACACCTTCAATCAAAAGTGTTGGTACTCACTCGATGTCATGAATTAGGCCGCATCCAACAGCATGTATTTAAAAGGTCTAGGTCCATAAACACATGCCTTTCCTGGGATAATTTTGAATGTGGCATATAACTTTTCCCCGTAGTGAGTTGTGACCTCCTGCTTCTTTTTGACAACCATAAAAATATGGCTGGATGCTTTTTCGTACCAAAAATTAATAGGGATTAATAGGGTGTACTCAGGAACATTCTCAAACTTTTTTCCACTTGAAATGTGCTAAAACGAATCAAATCCATTACAACGGAAAAAGAACTCGGCTAGAGCATTCTCTTCTCAGCCGTTATCTCTACAAGCAACTTCTTCCTCACATTGTGCCAGGGTTGGCCCGATGGTTACATGAGGTTGAGAATGTATCCTCTGCCTTGAACCCTACTCTTCATCATCAATCATTTCCCATAGCTTCCTAATATCATGCATTCGCCGGACCCCTTGTCTCATCTTCTTTAGAAGTGTGACATTTATCAAGGACGTTCACTTCTTCCCCCCGACCATTTGCCCTACTGCTTGCGGTTGCTTCCAGCATCTCTTCCTGTGCACTTTCAACTCTTACTCTCCCATGACCTGCAATCATTCCATCCACCACGGACTCCAATGTGTAATTTAGACACATGGTTTCAGCAACTTATGTCTTTGATCTCCCTCTTCCAATGTCTCTAATAGACCAACCCTCACTAACTAACTATAACTCTTTCAATCAACGGACCTCTTATATTCTAACTTCACAATTTCAAACCACAAACATATCGACCAAGATATCACGTTTGAATTAATATAAATATCACATATAAATAACACATGTCCGAACTGAACCAGAAGACTATGATTAAAGAACATCTAAGAGTTAATAGAAAGTAACTCGTGATAGACAAGGGACTTCAGATGAAAAGTCTTTTTTGGTAGTTGGGGGGTGTTGTTCATGGCGGAGAGCCAAAATCCTGCCATATCGGCCTCTTTGTGGCGCCGTTATAGCAGGTTATGGCGGAAAAACCCGTAATATCGGCCGATATTTACCATGGCAGCAAGCCCAAAAACCGCCATGTATCTCCGCCATAGCGGCCATGGCGCCGCAATTTGATAACACTTTGGGATACTACACAAACTTAGCATCCTTATTTGTTGTTAACAGTTAAACATTGTGACAAAGACTAATTGAAGAAATTTAGATGTCATTAAACAAACAAGTAATATGTACCTTCAAAGGAAGTTTCCCTTCTCTTCCTGAAGGGTTGATCACACGTTTCTCCTTCAATGTCTCCAAAGACACCTCTTCCCCATCTTGAAATCCAGCGTTTTCAATGTCCGTAAGATTTACATTGACATATTTTGGTAATCCCGCACGCATACCTTATTATTTTTTATAAAAAGAAAAGAAGGAACATTAAATAGAGATTTATGCACATGGATGTGCTATTAATAGTCCAAAATGCCATGATTCTCTTTAAACAAGAATCGCCATTTTAAGATGTTAATGAAGTGAATAAACTACAATTTTCTTCAAAAACCAACATATAACAAATATTCAACATCATATCCAGCCCCTATAATAAGCATACCATGTCTCTCTCTATAGAGGATAAAAACTTCACGACTATCAAATGTGATGTATGCATTGCAGCAAGTATATGTAATCAATTTGATTCCAAGAATCATAACCCTCATCTAACCAATGCTTTTTTCCTACTAATGTTGCTACAAGTAGCATCTTTCTTGAGCACTCCATGAAAGTAGAATCCTAAATTATCCTGATCTAATCTACAGAAAACAGATTTGATTAAACCATCAAGACATCGGAATAAACTCCATCCAAAGCATGACGATGCCACGGACAAGTGAACGAAACATTAAAGACAAAATATGGTAAGAAAAGGGCAACCTGGTCCTAGTGGGCCAATTATATGCAGTTTTGTATTTATAAGATAGTACTAATTTCATAAACATCTGACTTTCTACTCAGATAATACATTTCCAAATTCCAAATATTGGCCAAAGACTGCCCTTGATAGTAATATCGATCAATGTTACCATATATCCACCATGGCAGCATTATGGCGGATATATATGGTGGTTATTGGACTCGGTGCGACGGTACACATTGACCGATATTGCGAGTTATTCCCCCATAGTTCACTATAACGGCGCTGCAAAGCGGCCGATATGGCTGGATTTTCCGACACTGACAACACTGATATAGATTAAAGAAAGAGTAAACTGACATTTTTGTCTTTGAGATCGTAAGAATCAGACAGTTTAGTGCCTCAAATCTACGGAATAGCAAATTAGTCCTTTAAATTAAAGAATATCAATCAATTTAGTCCTTCAAATCAAAATATTTGGTTAGTAAACATCCACCAAAACCAATAAAAGACCTACAGATTGACTTAAATAGTATTTTGCTCCATAAACATAAAAACTGTTATAGGCCGTCCGCTAGGCCCAAGGTAAAATACCCAAAGGCAAGAGTGAAGGAAGCAAACGTGAGAAACAGTTGCTCCCTCGTTCTCACCCAAAGTAGAATAGATAATTCTGCCCTCCGATGTATCACCCACAATCCAGATCAATCAGACTACTGTCCACATAGCACGTCGCATCTCTCGCAAACGAGTTTAAGTGCTAACCTTGCAGGTCTACCCTTACGCTGCTGTACCAAAGGTCCAATGCACTTTTTCAATCCCCACTTTGCCGTTTCAACAACAATTCTGGTTCGAGATTCGAACAAAAACCTTTAAAATTGTGGGGGTATAATTAGAAAAAGGACTAAATTGATTGATATTTTTCCAATTTAAGAGGCTAAGTTGCTGTCTCACAAAGTTAAGGGAGTTGGCTAAACATCAAACTTTGTAAGTACACAAATCTGAACATAATATTCATTTTTGAAATGAGTAGACAAAGATTTTCAACAAAGAGATTTGAAAGAATGTATGAATGAATAAAAATTGATACCTCCAGCAATTCCTCTAAGTTTGGGGATTCTTCTATAAAGCGGCATTTGACCACCTTCAAACCCCCTCATTATCCCCGGTCCAGATCGAGATTTCTGCCCCCTCATTCCAAACCCACAACTCGCTCCTTGCCCAGCCGCTATACCTCTTCCCTTTCTCTTTGCTCTCTTTCTCGAACCCGGTTGAGGCCCCAAATTATCCAACCTAAACCTAACATTCTCACCCACTGGTTTCGCATAAGTAGAACCGGCCTTGTTAACTACAGAAACACGGAGTTTTGTTCTCTGACTCTTGAGACACGGACATAAACATGGTTTTGCCACTAAGGTTTTCACATTTCCCTACAGAAAAAACATACAATTGTGAAATTGAGATAGAGAATGCTTATGAATTGCGATGATAATAGAAATGGAGATAGATAGATCGATAGATACCTTGAAAGGAGAAGCGAGAGAGGGTAACGATGAGAAAGAAATGAGAGAAGCAACACTCATTGTCTATCTATCTGCTCTTCACTCTGTCAAGCAACAAGATAACTGATATAGATAAGATGATGGAGTAACGCTTTATGCAAATAGATAAATTTTCTTGACGACAGTAAATTGAGGTTTCTTCTATAGTGTTTTTTCTAATACCAATAATATACTATACCGACTAGGATCACTTCTCATATCAAATAATTACACCGAATCAATTAACAATTGATTTTTTAGTTAAGTAATGTGAGAAAATCATTAAGTAAATGATAGTCGTTTATTTGTTTATCAATAATTGATATTACATATTCGTGATTAAACATGATGTACGTTTTTAATTTGTTGTGAGTATAAAATAATTTTATATTTTATATTGTCGGTGTTTTTTTTACATTTTTTAATTTTTAATTGATAATTAAAAAAATTTAATACTTGTCAATGTCGAAATTGTTGAATTTTGTTTATGTTTTTAAAAAGAAAAAAAAAAGTTGATTCAAATTATTACTCACTTCATAATATTACTAATATATTTATATTAATTTTTTAATATACTTTGAATATTTTCTTTTCAATTATCATAATTTAATTTTTTTAAAATATAATTAAAATGAAATTTATAAAAAAATATTATTTTTTATAAAAAATTAATTATCAATCCGTTAATTTTTTATTTTTTTAAATGTATTAATATATTTTTTAATACATAAAACTGACAAATCATCGGGCAATCAAATGGCATCTCTCTAAAGAAGTTTGTTATGAATCCTTATTCTCAATCAAATGACATCTCTTCGGACAATTCCTGTAGAAAAGTTTGATTGTTGAATCCTCATTTTTACATCACATGGCATCTCTTTGAAAAAGTCTCGAAGAGAAGTATGATGAAGAAATAGTTATCTCTCTGGAAGATTCCGCCAAAGAAACTTATTGAAGATGATAACAAGTGTTTATTTGAGATAAATTGCTGCAAGTAGTTTTATCTGCTCGATATAAAGCAAAAATGCAGCCAATGACAATTCCCACAGTAAGTATGCTACTAATTTTCGCTCGTCACATGACATCTCTCCCAAGAAGTCTCAAAGAGAAGTATGATGAAGTTTATTTTTCATGAAATGGTGTCTCCCCAGTGATTATTTCAGCAAGTGATTACCCTTTTAGGAACTTGTCTGTTTTACACCTTTTCAAGAGAAAAACTTGATAAAAAAGAAATCGAGATCAATTTCATGGCTTATGTCCAGAAACAAGGGGAAGTTTATTTCAAAAAATCCAGACCAGTCTCATGGCTTATGTCCAGAAACGAGGAGAAGTTTATTTCAGAAAGCCGGGACCATTTTCATGGCTTATGTCTAGAAACGAGAGGAAGTTTATTTTAGAAAACCAAGACCAGTTTTGTGGCTTATGTCCAAAAACGTGGGGAAGTTTATTTTTACCCTTTCTAAGTGAGGCTACATAGTTAAAGAAGATGCTGAATCATTTTCCATTATTGGAAGTTCAATTGTCAAAGTTATAATCCCATCCCCTGTGGAGTTGTATTCTTTTCCCCAATGGAGTTATTATCTCTCCCCCAATAGGTTACAGCCTTTTCCCAAATTTTCTTTCCTAATGGGTAATTCTTTTGTTATTTCCCCTGTGGTTTAGTCTGTTCTCAGTCTCCTGTGGCATCACTTCCCATAGGTCTTATTATCTTACATTCATAAGTGCATTCATATCGTATCATCTTTTGTGGCTTCTTAGGGGCCAAAATCGTGCATTGTTGTATTTAAGCCTCCCTTATCTGGTCGAGACTAAGATGTCAATCTTCATCTCTCCGGATAGGAGAAACATAAATAGAGGCATATGTCATACCCAAATTTTTACCCCTAAGATGTCATCTTATTTATATCATTTGCATAACATTCATCATCACATATGTGTGTCTTTATGCATCACTAACCCATTGAATATACAAAACTATGTGTTTTGGTTCTGTTTTGATCCTAGCTAGGGTTTTGCTCTCAAGAAGTTCAAGGTTTGACCAGTCAAAGGATTATGGAAATCTTAATACCTCAAGCCCTAATCCATTCAAAATTTCTCAAGGGTATCTCCTCATTAATAATCAAGTACAAAGTTGCATCAAATCAAAATTAACAAGGCTTAAGTCCTCAGATATACCGAAATTAGGGTTTTGACCTAATCAGTCCCTGATTGACTTTTGGAGTAAGACATGATCCAATACATCAAGGTATGTTTCAAGGACCTCAAATGTATCACATTATTCCATTCTTATGTTTGGTTTGATCCAAATAACTTGATTCATAAGCAGTGCAAGAATTCAAATTCATCTGGGCCATAAATTAGGGTTTTTAATGAAACGTCAACTGCACCTTTGACTTTTGACCAAGACATGATATCAAGCCTTGAAGCATGATTCAAGACACTCAAAAACATCTTTGGAGTCCATCCATAGTGTTCAAAATAGCTCAAGGATTTAATTTCATTGAAGAATGCACTTTGGATTTCATCTAATACAAAAGTCAACCACTAATCAAAGTCAAGTTTGACTTTTGAATTTTTTTGTCAAACATGGTTTCCTCAAGTCAAATATCATGATAATATGTGAATTGAATCATGATCAATCAAGAAAATCAACAAAAATATCAAAGAATCAAGATTTGTGAAAATTCGAGTTTCATAATTTTTTCTAAGTTATGAAATTCAATGGTTTTTACTCATCTTGTTAAGGCCATAACTTCCAATCCAAGTAACCATTTTCTTTGATCCAAAGACCAAGTTGAAGACCTTTCTACATACTACAACTTTTCCCTTGAGAATGAATTCCCAAAAAATGCATAGATTGAGAGATATGAAGCCATGAAGTTGGAGGTTCAATACTTTTTGAACTTGGACACTTAGAAAATTTTCAAGCAGAATCTGCCTTGTGTTGAAGCCAACTTTGAGGCAATTTTTCACTATGATCCATATTTATTCAAGACAAACCTTGAACATTAAACTTGAAGTATGTCATCTCAGCTTTCCAAAATGTCAAAAAAACATCCATTTGTCTTACTTGAGCAAGAAGATATGATTTTCACAATGGACCTTGTTGCAACTGAATTCTCAAAGGTAAACTTGTGCCACACAATTTTGAGTCCAATTTCGATGACTTTGCGAGCCTCATCACTTCAGAAGATCAACATTAAAATCATAATACACCATGTGCTCTGCAAGATCATACTAGAATTCTCAAGATTCTATCCTTTTGCATGTGAAAAAAATAATTCCAAAGCTAGGAACTTAAGTTTTGTCCTCTAGCATTAAAGTGCATTAGTTAATTGATAAAAAAAACACCACAATCTATCAAAGAATGATCAAAACACCAAGTATCAAGTTGCAATATTATGAATATAACCTCAAAAGATCATAATTTGAGCCATGTGAGGAATATGCCATGTGTACCTTGGCACTCAAGTAATAGGTACATGACATCACCTATTGGGTAATAACATGTATCCTAATCCAAAGATCTTCACAAATATCTGAAACATTTTCCTATAAATAAGGTTCAATTTGATCATTCAAAACACACCAAAACATTGAAAGAAGCTTGTTTTCTAAGAAATCACCCTCCTTAAAAAAATCAAAGCTTCAAAGAAGTGAAAACTTGAATTATCAATTCCAGTTCACTTCCACTCAAACTAATCATCTAAACACTTCTCATACATCATGTATAAGTGATCCAAACACTCATATACCAACTGTAACCCCAGAATCATCAAGATCACATCCCACTTGTGTCGCTACTGCGAAAATCGGCGCCGGCTGAACAGAAGAGTCGCCACCGTGCGTTATTTATCCCAACGGAGGGAAAGGAAACGCTCGAAGTAAACCTACCGCAAAGACGGGAAAGGAATGGTCATCGTAACCAAATCCTGGATTCGGGAGTCGGTTACGCAAGGGGAAGGTATTAGCACCCCTCACGTTTGTCGTACTCGACGGGATCCACGCTTGTTTTCTGGTACAGATTGTTATTCTATCTATTCTACAGGTCTGGGGCTAAAAAGAAAATAAAATGACTCGACAAAGTATCGCACTTTATGCCTACGTATTCCCGTCTGGAACGAGAAATCAGAGTCAACGTAGTTCGCCTACCTACGGGAAAGGAGGGGAAGGTTGCTCGCTAGGATATCGCATCCTATGCCTACGTACTTTCATACAACATGAAAGATCAGAGCAAACGTAGTTCGGGCCACGTACGACACAAGTCTGTCTTGATTGCTTTTATCTCCTTCTGAAAAAGGGTTTTTCTGCTTAACAGTCCAAGCGGACAAAAATGACGTTTTGATGAGTTCACATTCTTTTACGGAAGAAGTGGCTTTTATTGTGTTTGAAATATTTATTGTATTTTTCTGTTTGTTTTGAGAAAGAAGAGACAGAACTCTAACCTATGGTTGAAAAGGGAATCAAACTAACCTAATGTTATCATGCATGGGTTAAGACCTAATGTCTATCATGCTCCTCTCTCGCGCAGAGAGAAACAGAGATCCTAAGGGATAAACGGAAACAGAAACAATAGCATATATACAATAAAGCAGTAAAATGCATGGATGCAGCAATACAAGCGAGGCAAGGGAGTCCCACTCAACCTAGAACCTAGAAAACAACAGGCAAAAACGAACAAAATTCGCTTTCAACCTAACAGATTAAATGGCACACAATACAGTCAGGGAAATTCAAACAATACATCAAAAATTATAAACAGCAAAAATAAACAGCAAACAACAGTCTTCATCAACATAGCCTTCAAGCAAGGTCTCTATCTTTAATCTTTCAATGGCTTTTCTTCAAGTCTCACTCTCCAAGATGAGCAGCAGTCAACAAGATGCATTGGATGTTAAGCAGTCAGTTGCCTACCAAGGGTGGCCTACTGACTGTTAACATGATACTGACAGTTTTCTCTCAAAAGTTCTATCTTTTAAATACATTCACTAATCCTTCCAAAGGAAGGAGGTGGGTATTTAAAAGAGACTTTGAATCATAGA